AAATTTTTTTATTACGAAAACAAGATAATCCAGATACTCTCTAGCCTCGTCCTTTTGCCTGAATGCGCACTTAAACTGTGAAACATGTCGTTTCCAAAGGGAAAAAGTGATACATTGTGATCCTAAATTTGACCAAAATGTTTGTGATGAACAGCAAACAGCCGTAAATATTTTTTTCCTAAATGTCAAACTATTTAACGTCTCAAGAGAGAATTACCATCATTTGGGGCTCATTTCTTCACAAATCCATCAGAACATTTGACTTAGTGTTGAAGTGTTGATCTCATGAAGGATAGGCTCCAGAAGGCTGAGAGACTACCAAGTTCCATGGGAACCTCGGCTATCGGCATAAACAAAGCACTGCTGTAATGCTTCACCAGCACTAATTCTCAGCATCAAGCTGTAAGTGTTGACTGGGCAGAAAACAAACATCCTCCTGGTGTCACGCCGACACAGTGACTCAGCGGGAATCAAAGCTCCAGACTGCTGAGGTCGGTGTCGGGTCATCCGGCTCTTCCCTCACCGGCACCTTTGACCAATTCGGAGAGAATTTGGTTGGCGTGCGTGCAGCATTATAAAACCCTTTTCCTTGCTAGAAACAAAGACCGGCTGGAGCACATTACAATTCCCATAGAAAACTCCGTAGCAACCAACCAAGCAGGATACACACCAAAGGAAAAGAGATTCAGAGCCCGAACGAAACCGAAACATTTCCATTTTAGAATTAAAGCTGAGGATATTTGAAGCCATTTTCTTTTGTTGCTAATTCTTTTCACGTCGGCCTAGAAGTGGAAGAAAATGCAAACCGGAGGAGGAGAAAATAAAGCGGCCAAATCCGACTAAATCCAATGAGAGCCTAATTACTTCCAGTTGCTGCAGAAGGTCAGCAGGACCGGTGCCATCTGGCATACCAGCACATCCTGGATGCCCAATCAGACACACTGTGGTCCGGCGCTCGCCGAGAGCTGAGGATCTAACTCAAAGCCTTTCATCTCATGCGCCATCTTGCCAGGTTGACATGCGGAGCTTGTGGTTGCAAATGGTGCGTTAAATCGCAGCTCCACCTCGGCACGAGCTCTCGGGTTCTATTCCCCGCTTGCGTCTCAGTTCTCATTTCTCCTGAACCTGTAAGACTGACTGAACTTTTTACAGACACCTTCACCTAGCGAGCATGTGAATGGGCATCTGTTGGCCCGCCTGACACACCGGCAGCATTTGAGGTGAAACAGCGTCCCTGATTAGGCACGGAGAGCATTTTTTAAGCAGCCGGTTGTTGTTGTTGTTGTTGTTTTGGCAGGCCTCGGCAGGCGGAACCAGCGTCAGAGCGACGTCCTGAGGGGCCCGGGATTCACACAGGCGGCTCATTAAGGCGCGATCAAGCCGGGAGACAGAGGACTTCTCTTCCTCGCCACAGAGGACCCTTTCTGCGATCCAGCGGCCCACTTCGTCTCTTTATTGCGCAAAAACACACCTATGACATCCGGCCCCCGCCTCCAGAGAGGGGGGAGGGGGCGTCGGGCCACAGAGCAAGGCGAGGCCGCGTGCGTGAGCCGCATCAGCATGTAGAATAAACATATATGCGTGGGAGTGGGTGGGATTAAAAGGGGCATCCAGGCCTGCAGATGTGAGGACAGGCTGCTTTCAGCGCCGCGTCCCCAGCATCAATTAGCAGGCTGAGCTGTGACCGGCTACTGTCAGGGGTGAAGTGGGCCGGCCCTGGGAGGTAAACATCCCTTGTCCCTGAGGGTCTCCCTGAAATCAGAGAGGCGGGTGGGCAACAATGTGCCACTGCCTGAGCCACAGAGGCTCGCCTGTGCCTGGCCACTAACTCTCCTTAGCAGTCATTTCCTCGCTTCTCCTCCAATTTCCTCGCCCCGGTTCACGCACAGGGCCTACAGTGGACGGTTCACCTGGCTGCACAGGAAACCCTTCTTCTCCCCCCCCGCCGTCCCCCCGCCCTGCTATGACTCAAACCCGTGTGTGTGTGTGTGTGTGTGTGTGTGTTTGAGCCAGCTTGTGTTTGGGGGTCACTTTAACCATGTGATGAGGGGCTTGGGTTGATTATAACTACCAGCCCAGAACAGCTAAATTCCTGCTCGGCGTGTAGAAATAGTTGTGTTTTGGTGTCTCCACTGGCCAGGGGCTCGTGCTATCAACGTTATAGCAAGATATCAAGCCTGTCCAAATAAATAATACTGGCTCCTCAAATTGTTGTTGCTTCAAGCACAGTTTAATCCCAATTTACCACTTTTATTTTTACGGAACGATGTAACAAAGTGTGAGCTCATTTAGTATGGCAAACATTAAAAAGGGAGTTCTCCTCCCTCATAAAGTTGGCCATGCTGAGCCTTCTTTTAAACAGAGGAACAAAGAACTGTGGCTCTCATAACATTGACTCTTAACACAGCTCACAGAAAAACGAAGGAAATGGGGAGAGAGAGAGAGAAAGAGGAAAGAGCAAAACCCAGGACAGGGAGTACAACAGATGAGGGAGTTTTGGTCGTAAAACTGAGTTAAATGATTTTTCTGCGTCACTATTTGCTCTTTAAACACATCTTTATGGTTTCAGTAGACTCCGAATTTCAATGTCTGACGCCTCGTTCTCAACGGACCTTTAAAAAAAAAAAAAGAAAACACAAAATAAAGCAAAACATCCCTAGTGCCGGGCCGGTCACTGTTTAAGGTAAACCTATCTGGCCCTTTTTAAGAGCTTGTATACTGGATCCCTCCAGGGCCCCAGAGGGTAAATTGAGACGTAAACAAACAATTTACTGGTTCAGGTTTAGGGGGTGAAGCTGTAGGTCACGGTTTGACCTCTGCAACAAACAACCACCACATCGGCCTGCAGAGTTTTTTTAAAATAGGAAACTATTTGAAATCAGTTCAGTAAACTGAACAAATTCACCCTAGACAGAATCAAATACGGCAAGTTAATCAATGACGTTTAAGAACAAATAGTGTCGACACATTTGTTAAGTAATACTGCTAATAATAAATTGTATTAGGTATCATCTGTTTCACAATCTCTCTTCGGGTGACTTGCAAGTTCAGATAATCAAATCGACAGCAGATCTGGAAAGGGTTGTGAAATGACCACACGCAACTTCATTGTGATCTCAACTATACACTTGGTAAATTCAGCTACTGCACTGTCACATGAACAAAATCTGTCCACAAACAGAAATATGAGCAGCTAGAAAAGTATTGAAAACCGGCACTTTGTTTCCACATGATGATGAAGGGGAAACTCTTGCTGCTGGTAATCATCGGGTTGTTCAGGATGTGTCATTACGTAATAAATCCTAGTGCTTGTGTGTCTCCTGATTAGGGTTCTGTTTCCCATGATCCATTACCTTGTGTTAAAAAGACAATGTTGCTTTTTGTTATGCTATAAGAACAGAACTCCTTCCGTCTTTGTGCGTCAATGTAAACATAAAAGACTTCCTCTTAGGTGACATCTCATTATTTCCACAACAACAGTCTACGTTGTTTTAGTAAATTCCTCCCAGATTACTTGTTTCATGTCTTCACTTTACACGTTCATAAAAACAAAATAAAAAAAACGTTCTCACAATAAAAAGGGACATTAGTGTCTCTGATTGAATGCACAGGCTGCCGTAACTCATAAAGCAATTGGTGCACACGCACCACCTCACAATGCGCACACGTGAAAACCAACGCACAGGGTCGATGTGCAGCATGTGGCGGTCTCGGGTGAGGAGTCATTAACTTGCTCAACAAGCACGTCTCTGTGCCGCCACCAGCTCGCCACTCCTCGCTGCACAGACACTGGCCTGTTTAAAATCCACTGTCTCACTAATCCACTCACCACCCAACTGTGGAACACCGACGAGGGCCTTTATCGCAGCGGAGCAGCTTGGAAGCTTGAGATATGCAGGAATATTGTAGCTGCAAAGTCACAGTGAAACAAACCAGAGTAGATTAAAGATAAGACGTCGATGGGGCCCAGAGTTCTCCTGTAGCTGCCGAGGGGGAGACACATGTGGCCTCTGAGAGCACACGGAGAAAAACAATCCAAAGGGAAGAAATAGAAAGTTCAAGTGTTCTAAAAATGAGTCTGACTTTGATGAGGAGCAGTCAGACCCGGCTCGTGTACAAGATAAGAGCGGCACCCCCATTTCAGCCAGTCGTTGGGACGGTCAGTCAGCACCATGGACAGAGACGCCGCCACCACAGTTTGACCCGTGAGGCCCATACAAAGAGAAAACACTGGAAATGCCAGGAGCTTTTTATTGTTTAGCTAGGTGAAACAAAAATGTATATACACGTGAGACCTATTGAAAAGCAGAGCGCTGGTCACATGAATCATGTAGGAAACCTCAGCAGCCCACAGGCTTCCGCTTATCTCATGCTCCACGAGGAAGCTACTCAGCATTATTTGTTGCATTGTTAAGAAACTTCATACTCTGTTCCTCATTTTAAAGGGAGAAAGTGAAATAAACCTTTAATCTTAAAGCGTTTGGCCTAAACTCACACACAGTGGCTTGTAACGGCATACGCTGAATGACATTTAGTCTGTTCTTTGTTGGGGCCGGATTCTCATGTTGATCTTCCACACCGCAACCGGTCTCTTTAAATCTAAATATAACCACGTGTAAAGCGAATACCTAAACCTCCCGGCCAATGTTTCGCTCACTGGCTTCTGGAGCGTAATTAACGGCGGTCTCAACTTAAATATCTGTTACATACTTACGGACTACAACGATGGCTGCCGGTTTTGTGGTGAAGGAGATAAGAACTTTACAAATTGTACAGAAAGTGAAATATTCGTGAGACATGTGTCATCTTTAGCATGATCACCGCAGTGACTGACCACTAAACTTTTACCAAACAAATAGTTAGCCGAATCTCATGACGTCGTTTTCTAAAAGCACTTCGAGGGGGGTCGTCGCCGCGTCTGACATTTCCCACGGCACGTGAAGGCAGCAGCTCAATGCAAGTTCAGCCCGAAAACTCACACGACGGAGCGTCACACTGACCTTGTTCAAGAGGGGGTTTCGGGTGACGTCGTAGCCCCTCTTCTTGGTGTAAACGAAGGTTCTGCCTTTGTCTTCGGACTTGTGCATCTCGGTTTCCACTGACTCGCGCCTGACCAGAGCGGCGCGCGCCATGCTGTTGTCTCTTTAAATGGAGCGACGGCGAAACGATGCAAACACAACAAGTGGACGCGCAGATCTGATCCCGAGTCCCCCTCGCACCCTTTGCTTTTGTACTCACTCACGGTAATTCAAGAACAAGCGCAGTCTCCTTTTCAGTCAGGCGCATTTTAATCCGTCCAATAAATCTCCGACGGTCTTCCTACCTGCCTCCATACAGTACAGCCAGGAATGAACCCAATAAAACACCTACTACAATATTGTTTAAAACGGTATGGCTACATATTTCATCTTTACTTAATAGAAAAGTTAAGATTAAAAAAATATATATATATATATATATATATATATATCCAATACATATATATATTGTACATATACATTCATGAACTTAAGGCACGCTACAATATGAAGAATAAAAATACATATAAAAAAGTATATATTAAAAAAAGATTAAATATGAAATACTAGCCATATTGTTTTAAACAACATTGTAGAAGGAGTTTTATTGGGTTCATTCCTGGCAATTGTACTGTAGTAGACAAGCACCACTAACTACGGACGATCATCCCTCGCCTCCATAGAGAACCAACAGAGCTGACCAAGTGTTTTTCACTGCAGGTTCGATTAGCCCACTTTAACACCCGATCCCGGCGGTTAATGAAGGCAAACTCTCCCGTCTCACTCACCTGACAGTCGATTACTAACTTCCTGACAGACAGGGGAGGTGAGTCTGGGAAAAATCACCTCCAGAGATGTGTGTTCCCCCCAATGTTCTTCTCCCTCTACACAAACAACTGCACCTCAGAGGACCCATCGGTCGACCTCATGAAGCTCCTCATCAAATGACGGTCACGAGTCTGCCTACAGACGGGAAGTTGACCAGCTGGTCCTCTGGTGTGGTCATAACAAGCTCAAAACTGTAAAGATGACAGCGGACTTCAAGATGACCCTCCCAAAACACTGGCCCCCTTCACCACACTCAATGATTCTGTGCCGGCTGTGGAGACCTTCCAGTTTCTGGGATCTCCCGGGACCTAAAATGGACCTCCAACATCGACACCATCAGGGAAAAAGCCCAGCAGAGGTTGTACTTTCTGCTCCAGCTCAATAAGTTGAACCTTCCTCAGAAGCTGCTGGTCCTGTTCTACTCTGCCATCATCCAGCCTGTTCTCTGTTCTTCCATCACTGTGTGGTTTGGATCGGCCAGTAAAGAGGACAGAAACAGATTACCACGGATCATCAGGTCTGCAGAGAGAATCATTAGCTCCAGCGTGCCCTCCATCCCAAATTTGTCCACCTCCGAGGTCAGGAAAAGGCCTGTTTTTTTGTTTTTCTGGTGTTTTTATTCTTATGTATATTGCCTTTTATTATTGACTTTTTGTATGTTCTTGTTGTTGTATGTACTGTAGAGCAGATGTAACCTGTATGCATGAGCATAAAGCTGTTTCTGATTCTGAGATGATTTTACATTGTGTGTCTGAGGGATGTGACAGGTCTGAGGCCAAGGTCAAACTTCAGCCTTCACACTGTTTCAGGTTATGCAACATCTGGCAGCTGATACCTTGATAGTGAAAAAATGCCCCTGAATGGTAGTCTGGGAGTGAAAGACAGGTTGTTCAACCCTCAGCCCACATACCTCCTGTGGATGGGGTGACTGCTCCACACTCACCGCCGCCTTGCCTCGTACCAAGCTAATTTACATATTGTTGTCCCTACAGACTTACGGGCATCCGAAGGGACAAATACAAGCTTCAGCCCTCCCACATTCTTGTGGCCACTGTGTGTCACTGAGATAAAGTGAGTCCGTTCCCTGAACCGTACACATCTGAAGACTAATTTCTATTTCAAGGTTGGTCTCGGGCCAAACCTGTGAAGACATTTGGACTGATAACGTCTCCGTCTGCAGAGCGGAAAGGATAAGTTATATGTGGATAAAGTTACCTGAAGTCGTGGGAAAGTGTCTGAACCTGTTGCATTGAGACAACACTCCTCCCATAAATCATGCCATATTGTGGCTGTGTGCAAATGTGGTCTAGAGGAGAGATTGATAATGTCCCCTCCCTCACAGACTCATCCGTTCTCTGTTGAACATACAAAGTAGCAGGTACAGCAGACTGAGAACTCTTTGGCCTTTCTCCTATTCTGCTTCATTTCAGCCGCCCCGAAAACCAACACTGTCTCCAGTTCATTTAGGATCATGTCTGCAGGAGTAAGAAACAAAGGCCACCAACAAATAAATATCAACAGGCTGCTCAGTTTCACATGGGGTCACGTTGGGTTTCTGTTGGCTCCGTTTGGCAATAGACTCATTGACCGTTTGTCCTCTGAGTCAACACTGGACTGCTGCTGCCAAACCCACCGATCACGCCAAGTTGTGTAAACCCAAGAACTGAGATCATTTGCCTCATCCAATTCTATTAATTATTGGAATACAGTGGTAGGGTAGCCACCAAAACCTCTGGATTCAAATTTTAGATAACCTTGTAAATTGGTTGTCACTGGCAGCAGTTGCATTTTTTGTGTCAACGTTTGATATTGATGACTGAATTAAGCCAAAGATCAATTCCTGATCGCTTTGTTTGTCAAGCTTTCAGTCTGTGGTTGAATGATCAATCAGGAGGACAAACGGCATCTGTTTCCGTAGCAGGAAGTTATGTTTTTGAGGGTTGAGGCAGGACGCCAGTTAGCAGTAGGAGGGCATGAGGAATGCTGGGAAAGTTTTGGAAGCGCAATCGTCCCACATCGAAGGCTTATTACAGTAATGGAACAGCTGGAAGCTTTGATTGATCCGATTCTAAATATGTTTATTTTTCAAAGGCAAAAACCCACAGATGTGATACGTCTCATACAGGATCTGTTAATCAGTGGCAGCCCTGGGCACAGACACGTTACAGGAGCTCCGCTAAAGGCTTTCATGAACCAGATATACACCACTGCAGGCAAACCAAACAAAAAAACACACTCCACGCATTTATGATCATTTCTTCCCCCACACATTACTTTCCCTTGAGCTATCACATTTTAAACGCCTACATAGGTTGCAACAGTTCAGGCAGTTTGACCACAAATTGAGAAAGAGACAAACATTAAAACAGACTGAGAGCCTTCAGCCATAAGAGGGGCTGTGCTGATACAGCAACACTTAGAGCGAAATGCTAGCGTCAGCATGATAGCACGCTCACTATGGCCCAACCAGGACATTCTGATGTGCTGCCATGGTTTAAGATAAGACTTAAATAATCACCAGGGTGACATTTATTATCTGTCCAGCAGTATATGAAGTAATCAAAATCAACCCCTGTCCCATGTGCAAGGATTCCTTTTTTCTTTATCTTCGTTTTTCACTCCTGTTGTGTAGAGTACAACTGTACAGTTTGTGCAGAGTCGACGTACCGCGTCCATCTGGCTGCAGTTTTGGGAGGTATTTCCTTTAGAGAAGAATGAGGCAGTATGAAACCATTATTCTCCAATGACTGAAAGTCTCACCAGTTTCTAAGAAAGGGAATACACACAATAAGCAAAGTGGTTCAACATTGATGAATTTTGCTTCTACTTGTTCAGAAAAAAAGAATAATATGCTAATACTTTAGTACTTTTACTTGAGTACAATTTGTAATGCATGCATCTTATTCTGGTGGTACCGCTAGTTTTACCAAAGTAAAAGTAGAGTTCTTCCAACCCTGGACCCTGTCTTGGTGATCTGTAGTTGATAAGCATATAACTATTACTGGTGATGTAATGACATGATAACTAGTTAATATTAACAGAATAATGGGGATTTTAAAAATGAATGTGGGAAACGGACGTGTTATGAACATAAAGGGCTGCGTTTGATTTGATTTCATCACCTCCCTCATCAAGCCTTCATGGCCCAGTTGAACCAGATGTTTTATAGACATAAATCTATTGTTATTGCCCCTTAATGACAAGCATGGTACTGACTCACACACAGACATACACAAACATTCGTGGCTGAGGAAGTGCCTTTACTTATGACCATGATCTATGCGGTCTGCATCGTACACAGCCTTCATTCCTTGTCTGTGTTTTGACTCTTGTTTATTCCTTTGGGGCTTTTTGTGGCCAGGAAGGGGCGGAGGTAGACAAAGACCAATACTCAGTAATACAATTACTGAGAATAAAAATCACCCACAAACCCATAGTTTTCCCTCTCACCTTCAGTTATTCTGCTGCGAGCAACACCTGGCCGCACTTCCTGCACCGAAGACGACGGCGAAGGATTTACAAACCTGGTCGTTAAATGTAATTACAGCCACAGAGGGGGAAACTACCTTCTGATTGCTTTGGCAGTCGCCTGTATAAACCCTAGGGAGGACAGTGGATGTGAAGGTTTGAGAAAGGTGGGTCCTGGAGGATTGTACGGGGACTCCTGCTCAATGGAACAAGTACAGTCGACAAATTAAATCTGAACTTGGTGTCATTTATTTTATATTGTACTTGGACATCCAAGCGCTTTGGGGAGATTGTTGATTTCACTCTAGATTTTTTTCTACAATTTTAGATGATCAAAACTGACTGTTTCATGTATGTTGAAATGAGAGCATCTTGAGCATTATGAATATTTGCTGATATACATCACAAGTTAAGTTATGTTGTGCACAGACATCTTGCAAGCCCATTAAAAAGGCACTTTTTTATTTTTTCAAAATCAACCAATGGTTATAAGCAGTTTCATAAATACCACAAAAGGGCAACGTAATTTTGAAGAAGCCAGGGTTATGTTTTTCCCGTACTATACATTAAATGAGTGAGCTACTACTGTGCAACATCTTTTAGCGTTGAGATAACAATGGACATGGCCACATGGTTCAATGGTTGAAAGAGTTGTGGCAGGAACTGTGGATTTTGAATGTAACAAACAGAGCGGATGGGTGAAAAGGCACAACGGTCAAAGTTAAAAGTAACACAAGAGCTTGAGGTGAAACAGTCCGTCTCGCATGTATGTAGGCGTGCTCACCTGTTTCAGGCTTTTACAGCCTTTCGACCCTTTGGCCTCTTTCATCATCACAGCCTTTTGACCAATAAACTGTGGTGTGTTTCCGCAGTGGGTTCATAGACCGACGGAATAAGCATTCCACAACTCCCCCATGTT